GGGGCGGGGAGGGCCCGGGGTCTGCGGTCCGGGCTTGGTCTCCTATAGTGAAATCTGGCCGTGGACTGTGCCCTTGAGGAACCATCCAACATTCTCTCTTAAAGAGCTTATACCATTCTAGAATATATTTCTCTACTGAGTGTTTTTCAAATTTCTGTCGTGTATAATTTTTAAGGGGACTGTGAAATAGTGCAGGTTTCCAAGCTTCATACCAAGATGTTCTGAACTAGTAGACTGAGGCCTCGAAATTTACATTTTAGACCAACACCTCCCACCCAGTGATTCTGACTCTGGGAGCCTGGGTGCCGCATCTTGAGGGCCATATTTTGATTTTCTAGCGGGGCTTCCCAACAATTCAGTATGAGAGATACTGATATGCTTTTTGTTTGTTTGTTTTTAATGGGTGAAGTCACTGAGGTACCAAGAGGTTATATCACAACCAGCTAGAACTAAAAGCCAGGTTTAACACTTTTTAGTCGGACACTAGTGGTACAAAAGGATTCCACACTGAAGATTGAAAGGAAACATGGGATCTGTAGGGCTTACAGGTTTTTACTTGTTTCTGGGGGCGCTTTAATTGCTGGAACGTGTTAAAAGTAACACAGACATTTCCAGACCATTCGTGGGAGGGAGTGGGGTGACTCAGGCACGAAAGAAGAAGGACCCTACGTGATCGGTATCTATGGTCATCTTGTCTCAAAGTCTGATGGAATCTGCCGTTTGGATTCTGTTTTCCCTGCTTCAGTGCAGCTGGTTCTTGATGAGAGTTCTTTGTCAAGGACTTGCTGGATATAAAAAAAAAAAAATTTGTTATTTTGTTGAAACTTTCTGCTCCTTTGAGTTCTTTTTTAAAAAATTTTTAATTGTGGTAAAATGACACACAAAATTTATCTTCACTGTCTTTAAGCGTGTGGTGAGTGCAGTGATACGAAATAGATGGATAGTGTTGTGCAGCCATCACTGTCACTCGTCTCCAGAACTCCTGTTTATCAAACTTTTATCAAACACCAACTCCCCATTCCCTTCTACCCCAGCACATGGCAACCACCATTCTAATTTGTCTCTGTGATTTTTACTTTTCTGGCGACCTTAGATAAATAGAATCATATAGTTTTTGTGTGTCTGGCTTATTTCATGTAGTGTAATATCCTCAAGGCTCATGCATCTTGTTGCATGTATCAGAATTTCTTCCCTTTCTAAGGCTGAATAATCCATTTTATGTATTTAGCACATTTTGCTTATCTGTTCATCTGTCAGTGGACTCCTGGGTTGCTTCCACATTTCAGCCATTGTGAATGACACTGCTATGAACATGGATGTACAAATATCTCTTTAAGACCCTGCTTGTATTTTTTTGGTATTTACCCAGAAGCGGAATTGCTGCATCATCTTTTAGCTCCTTCTTGGAGTTCTTGGTCTTTGCAGTCTTTACCATGGCCTACATTCACTGCTCTGTGTTGTTGCTTTTCTCAGATGGAACTTTTGGTGCCAACTTGGCTCTGATTCTTTTTCCTTGTTCCTTCCCATTAGCACTTAAGATTCTCAGAGATTTCACTTGTAGGACTTATACCTTACCTGCTTGGGACACACACACTGGTTTCCAATGACTAACAGCTACAGCACTAAAGGGGCATCTCTACTAATATGTCTTAAAACAACACATGTTCCAGCTGATTTTTTTTTTTTTTTTTTGATGGAGTCTCGCTCTGTCACCCAGGCTGGAGTGCAGTGGCACAATCTCAGCTCACTGCAACCTCTGCCTCCTGGGTTCAAGCAATTCTCCTGCTTCAGCCTCCCAAGTACCTGGGATTACAGGTGCGCAATACCACGCCCAGCTAATTTTTGTATTTTTAGTAGAGATGGGGTTTCAGCATGTTAGCCAGGCTGGTCTCGAACTCCTGACCTCCGTTGATCCACCTGCCTCTGCCTCCCAAAGTGCTGGGATTACAGGCTTGAGCCACCGCGTCCGGCCTGAGCTCATTTTCTTATAAGATCTCCTTACATCCTTCGTGCCCCATAATTACCAGATCCCAAACTTGAAAAAGTAGTTTCCCAGCTTTTTTGGCCTTCGTATACATGCTGTCACAATGCAGTTCTTCCTTTGTCTCTTTATAGCCGTACCTCAAGTGCTATCTCTTTAGGTTTACTGCAAAGCCTTCCTTGTTTGAGGTCTTCTTTTCTGAGGGGTTATTTTGATCACTTCAGTCCTTCAAGATATTAACAGGTAATACTATGTGTGCAGGCATTGTTGCAAGTGCTTTACGCGTATTACCTCGTTTTACTGTTGCACAAATCTTTATTTTTTTATTGTGGAGGCACAGCACACAGGCCCAGAGTCAGGCCTTCAGTTACCTATATGGCTCTGCTGGAGCCTGCTGCAGACTTGCATTTGAGCACCTTGCTCTGATGGCCCTGGCTGCCCTTTATATCACATCCCCAATTGGAGGCTCCTTGTCAGCACCTGTTCCTCTGGCTGTACCATCTCCTATGACTGTTCTGTTCTGGATAGATCTCTGTTGAGCCCATGATGGACCTTCTCCCTTTCACCCTTTGTCTGAGCCATTTCCCACTTTTTTGTCTTGGATAAGCAGTTTGCTTTTATTCCATCCAGAGTGCCTTGCGCTCGGTCTGTGGACGAGCCCCAGCAGACCTGAGCTAGCATTCACTATGGGCGTATGTGGCATTGCAAGGGTCTGTCATGTGGACACAGCCGTAAATGGTTGTGCATTTCTGCCTGACAGTTTTTGCACTACTATTTTTCTAGTGCAGTTCTTATTTGTCCTGCTTCTTGGAAGTTATTGGGACCTTGAGAGCAGGACCTACCTCTTGTTTTTCCATTGCATCTCCAATTATACTCTGATGAAAATGTACAATTGACTGTATCCTGTGGAAAAACCCCCAGAAAATTCACCTGTTTTGGTGAGCTAGGTAGCAAACAGATGTAGCTTTCATGGTGATGATGATTCATAATTATCAGTAATTGTGCTCATTTATAGAGTGTTTGTTACTAAGGGTGGGAGGGAAAGGAATGAAACCAAGAAGCAATGTCTACTTAATGTATAAGCCCAGAGGTCACTTTCCACTGTGTTGAGGACAAGGTGATAAGAAGTAGGCAATAAATACATTTTGTGTTTCTTAGCGTTCAGGAATTCATGACCTTCACGAGTCAACTGATTGTGGAGCGTTCATCGAAAGGCACTAGAGCTTCTGTCAAAGAACAAGGTAAGAAGACCCTCCAACTTCTGTGCGTGTGCTGGCCTGGCTGCCATGTCTCACCTCACACAGCACCCAGCTCTCTCCTTTCTACTGGGACCCCACTCCTCCTCTAGCTTGTTCTCTCTTTTCCCCCTCTTCCTTTTCCTATTTATGCAGAATTCTGTGCCCACTGTTGAAGTCTGAGCTTCCCAGATAAAATTGCCCTTAGACTCATTTAAGATTAGGGTCTGACTCTTTTGGAGCAGTAAGCAGCCTTCACATCGTAGTCTTCCCTATCCTCTCCAGAGTTGCAGACCCCTCAAAAAAGAATTTCCAGCTAGCACTGTTGAGGTACTATATGCATTCTGTGCATCATAGATTTTTTGACCAGGAATCTGAAAAAACTATTTTTTCTTTCTAATAATTCAGGTTTAGGCATTTATTTAGATGTGTATGTTATACGGACAGATCAGGAAAGAGTTACATGAGTTTCATTGGTAGAGACAAAGATCATCTCACACATATGCTAACCTCAAGTCACGTGACATAGAGTTACTGAATTGATTATATAAATGTCAGTTATGATACAGGCAGGATTGAATATATACACTTTATGTGGGATCTCTGTGCTGTTAACATCACAGAAGTGAAATATTCAGTGTTCTTGCTCTGTTCTCCTTCAAACTGTGTCTGCCCTTCCCACATTTATTACTTAAAGACGATTCCCCCACTGACCAGGTTCTCAGTTTCTTTGGAGGGTATGCACTTTGACCCCATGTTTGAATCTTAATTGGGGATGGTATACAAAATCTGGAGAGCATTGGTGACAATCTCCTGTCCTCTTCCTCCTCCTCATTCTTGTTCTTATTTATCTCTGCTCTTTTCTGATTTCAGGGGCTCACCATCATTCCCTCCTCTTTTATTTGTTTTTCTGTTGTTTAGCATTGGAATCTTCTGGGTCAGATCTTTAAGGACAAGAAGGTTCTTATTCGTAAGCTGTAATCCTTACGTTTCTCTTTCCTTGGGGATATGGTTAGCTGTATCAACTCTGAATCCTTTCAAAGTGATGAAAATGAACAATCCTGTGGATTGTGAATATTTTGCAGAAGATCTATACAACTGTACCTTTCAATCATATAAGGATTTTAGCACAGTGCACTGGAGGCCTTAGCTGGCAGTGGCTAATCTTTTTCTAGACTAACCCCCTTACTCCCAGTCACCCAGCAGAGTGGAGCAAACCCAGCAGTCTGCTATAATATGGAAAACTGAGGCCCTGGGTGGTAATTTCCTGTCTTTCAGCTGCTCTGAAAGGATTTTTTTTAAGAAAGCAGAGGTGTCTTGGCTTGTCCAGGGTTCCCTAAGTTTGGGAGCAGCACAGAGCCCCAAGGGCTCCAAATCCCCGAGATATAGCTTGGCCTGACCTGAGCTCAAGGAAAACACTTGGAAATGCTCCTGGGGACATGTTGTCTAGAGTGTGTTTTCTGCAATGCTGGCTGTTCCTTTTAAGCCCTGGCTTTGCATACTGGGCCTCTGGGTATTTACTGGTCCTATAGCAGGTGTTGGGCCAAGCTCCTCTGTGTGGCCCATTTGACTGTGCTGCTAAGCCTCTCCACGAGACTTGCCCAGAGCTATTGAGCTTCAGAGTGACTTCATTTGGCCTAACATTGTGATGCTTTGATTTGGGGGGATTAAAAGAAGTCTGAAGCCCTCATGTCAGCATCCATGTGTCTGATCTCTTGTCTCCTTAGACTATCTGTGCCATGTCTATGTCCGGAATGATAGTCTTGCAGGTGTGGTCATTGCCGACAACGAATACCCATCCCGGGTGGCCTTTACCTTGCTGGAGAAGGTGAGTTTTTGATTTGCCTCTACTGGACTTGGATGATGAATGGCCATATTTATGGACTGGGACAGGGGGTGATGGCAGCGTCTGAGGCATAAGGGATGAAATGATGTGTCCAAAGTCAACACGTTTTTCAGCCCCCTTTCCTGCAATCCAAGAGACAATTTGGCCTCCCTGCATGGGTTTCCTCCCCGGTGCTGTCCCTCATGTGACCGGGGTCTGGGCCACTGAGTCACAGCATCTCTGGGATGGGACCTTTGGAGACAGCTGTGCCTCGTGTTCTCGCCCCCTGTGCTTCTGCTCAAGGAGTCTCCCTCTTGAATGCCCTCACTCTCCACATTGCCTCCTGCAGTTGCTGCATCCCTCCACCTTGATGTCAGTCAGTTGTACCACAGAGCTTAGCATCTAAGCATTCTTTAATTTTTTGTGTGTACAGTGCTAATTACTAATATAAACTCTTTGAAGTCAGAGGCTTCATCCTATACCCCAGAGCACCAAAATACCTCCAAACACATGGAATCTGGTGGTTTCTTAAATCCAGGGGACCTAATTCTCTTTTAAAAAAAATTGCTTTGGAAAATTAGAGGGCCAGTGCCCTTTTTTCCTGGAAATCTGTGGTTTAAAATTCAAATACCTTTATTACTCCCCAGGTGAGGTTCATCTCAGGCTGGGCATACTTTTGATTCTCAGAATATTTAGGATACGTTTTAATGATAAAAATTTGGAAATGACTTTAGCCTACATTTTCTCTGTTGCCATTATATCTCCCCCTCATTCCTCCTTCCTGGGCTCTGGGGGCCAAGGAGCCTCATTCAGGGTGAGGTGCTCAGGGGTGAAGCCCTGTCGTTGAGACTACTGGTGAGTGCAAAGTGGGAGGCTTGTTGAGGCTCCTTTGTCTTGCAGGTACTAGATGAATTCTCCAAGCAAGTTGACAGGATAGACTGGCCAGTAGGATCCCCTGCTACAATCCATTACCCAGCCCTGGATGGTCACCTCAGTAGATACCAGGTAGGGTTAAAGGAAGCTTCATGCAGACACCATGTGGCCCAGAATCCATGTGAAACTGAAAAAGCCAACTGCCCTGATAGTTCTGGTCTGGTTGCTTCTGACAGCTTCTGATGCTGGTGGTCTCTCTCAAGCCTTCTGTTTGAAAAACAGAGAATCCACCTTCAGACCTGGTAACCCAAGCTGTAGGCAGGCTTTGGGTTTCTGTTACATGTTAAACAGGCTGTGGGTTTTTTTTTTTTTTTTTTTTTTGAGATGGAATCTCGCTCTGTTTCCCAGGTTGGAGTGCAATGGCGCAATCTCGGCTCACTGCAACCTCCGCCTCCTAGGTTCAAACTATTCTCCTGCCTCACCCTCCCAAGTAGCTGGGATTACAGGCACGTGCCACCACGCCCGGCTAATTTTTGTAGTTTTAGTAGAGACAGGGTTTTACCATGTTGGTCAGGCTGGTCTCGAACTCTTGACTTCAGGTGATCCACCTGCCTCGGCCTCCCAAAGTGCTGGGATTACAGGCGTGAGCCACTGTGCCCAGCCCAGGCTGTGGTTTTTAACCTGTGGAAGCTTGTCCAGCTTCCTCGGTTTTGGGCTTTGTTTCCAGGTAGCCACTTCAGTCCTGACTTTATTATTTTTCACTCTTTCCTAGAACCCACGAGAAGCTGATCCCATGACTAAAGTGCAGGCCGAACTAGATGAGACCAAAATCATTCTGGTAAGCAGGAAGATGGAGAGCAAGCCCAAGAACTGACGTGGGGGTGCGATTTGCCACTGGCCAGGCATGCACAGATCCATCCTCATTTTAATAGAATAGTAACTACAGCACTCTCCAGGAAGTAGGATTGCCCACCCCCTCCCTCACCGCAGGCATCAGACTCTCTCCTATACCCTTGTCTTGGTTAATGGCACCCATTGTTTCTAGGGAACCAAGCTGGGAACCATTGGAACCCTCAAGTCTCCCTTCCCCGTGGCCACTGCCTGTCTGGGCATTTACTGGGTTCCTAGGGTTTGGCCTCTGAAGACCTGGATTCCCACCCTGGTGGCTTTGTTAGGGTATCAGGTGCCTCCACACCCCACAGGTGCCTCCCCTTGCAGGGTTTGCATTGAAGGTGAACAGATTGAACCACAGTACACTGACCACAGGGCAGTTTCTGGAATACGGGCCCAGGGTTGTCACATAGGCCCATTTGAAAAGAGCCGGAACCCTGCATTTTGAGCTGAAATCTCCTGATTTGTAACTGCTGCCTCAACTCCCTTTTTTTTTTTTTTTTTTTAGTTTTTGCATACAAGTGGAATGTAAGCAGCCATCTGCTTTTCTCAGGTTTGGCTCTTACGGCCTTTGCCTGTAAGTGGTCCCCTTGCTTCCTGCTCACCTCCAGTCTGTCCACCAGACAGTAGTCATTGATCTGCACAACTTAGAACCCTTCAGCAGCTCTCAGATCCACCCCAGGATAAAGTGCAAACTCCCTAACTCACAGTCTCCTGACTGCACCCTGTTCTCTCTTATACCCTTTCCTGCCCAGCTCACACACAGACGACTGAAGGTTGGGCCTTTCTGATCAGATGTCAGTTTTGTTACTGCTTGTTTACATGTCTCCCTGACCCGCGTATAAGCACTGGGACATTTTTCCATCCTGCTCATGACACAGTGCCTAGTTTATACCGTGCTCAGCAGTTGATAGATACCTAGAGTAGATTGAAGCCCAAATACAAAGCTTTACCTTTACACAGGCATGGCTTTAGTGTGTACATCAGCGTCTCCTGGGGTTGGGGTTGTTGGCCTGGGTTGGAGCCTGGGAATCTGCATTGTATAAAAAGCATCCCAGGGGCTTCAAACACATGTCTGCTGACCGCACTCCAAATAACGTGGCTTTGGAATGAATAATAGACGTGAAAGTCTCATGGTATCTGTGTCTTTTGAAACCTTGTGAGCTTTTTTACCACCTGGGTGGCATTTCTCCGTTTTCTCCTCAAGCCGTCTCTTCTGTTGCTCAAGTCCTAGTCTGAGTACCATGACACCTGGGACACCTGCTGTTTCTCCTCTCCCCACGGTGGCGTGTGGATGAGTCCTATTCGCACAGCCTTATCTAGCTGCAGTTGTAAATCTAGATGATTGGTGTGCATATCTGAATCAGTTAACTTTTTGTGTTAAAAATTTGAGTTGCTCAGCTGTATGTAGGGATGAAGGACATTCTTGCTGGCTCCTCATTCTGTGGCGCTTCATGTGTGCATCCAGCTGCTGCAGCAGTGGCCATCTGGGGAGAGAAGTGAGCTGCTGCTTCCTGAGGGCCCTGGTGGCAGAGCTGCTGGCTCTTGTGAGGCCTCCATCTCTAGACCCCTTCCCATGGGGTCAGTGTTTTCATTTCCTAAGTCAGAGTTTGTAGTGATGACATTTAGGACATAACCCATTTAGAAGACAGGACATGTTCTGTCATAGTGTTGTCCGGTATATATTTGAGGCATGTATGTAACTTAGAATTTTCTAGGAGCCATATTTTGAAATGATAAAAGGAAAATAAGTAGAATTTAATTAAATTATATATTTTACTTAACCCAGTATATCCAAATACAATTTTTCCAACATGTAATCAGTATAAAATTTACTATTTTTTTCAGTATAAAACTTACTAATGAGGCATGCGTGAGTTTGCATCTGAAGTCTGGTGTGTCTGCGCTCAGAGCACTGCTCAGTTTGGACTCACCTCACATCAAGTGCTCAGTAGCCATTTCCCACCACCTTTGTTTCCTGTGGCTGCTGTCAACAGATACCCTCAGCTATTTACTCTTAACAAGTAGCCCTGTGGGCCTGGCTGGTGTCTTTTGGGGCTCTGAGGGAGAGTCTGTCACAGGCCTCTCTCCAGCCTCTGGTGGCTGCTGGCCGTCCTTGGCGTTCCTTGGATTAGAGGTGTATCCCTCCAGACTCTGCCTCTGCCGTCACGTGACCTTCTCTGTGTGTGTTTCCGTTTCTTACCAGGACATCAGTCATGGAATTAGATGCAACCCTAATCCAGTATTACCTCTTCCTAACTAGTTACATCTGCCAAGACCCTATTTCTAAATAAGGTCACATTCAGAGATTCTGGGGATGTTAATTTCTGGGGCACAGTTGGGACGGGGAGGTGGTGTGGGTCACTCTCCAACCCAGTGCAATCATATAGTGCCAGCTACTCTTTTTCCAAAGCCCCATGCACACACACATGTGCGCGCGCGCGCACACACACAAATGTATATATAAATGTGTGTGTAGTTTTCCTGAGTGGGAGTTTTCCTGGAGTGCTGGTTATCTAAGCCTGTGCTGGGGACAGCTTTTTGGGAAGTCTGCTACATCCCAGTTAGATCTTCTAGATTTCACGGGAATGTCACCAGGTTCTGTTCCATCCACTTGGACAGTAACTATTCTTGGACCGAGTCTTGACACCTAGAGGTGAAGTTTGTGTGTGTTGAAGTGGAACCCAGGTTAGGCGCTTTCCCCCATGACTGAAGTACGAGGGGCTCATGTTAGGGCATGTACTGAACAGAGCTGGGTTCTCTTCTCTCTTTTGTCCAGCACAACACCATGGAGTCTCTGTTAGAGCGAGGTGAGAAGCTAGATGACTTGGTGTCCAAATCCGAGGTGCTGGGAACGCAGTCTAAAGCCTTCTATAAAACTGTGAGTACCCAGCACCTGCTGCCTCCTGGGTGTTCTCTCCAGAGAGCAGTTGCAGCTTGCTGCTTCTGGCACTCTCCACTATAAACAGGTCTTTCTTAGACTATTGAATCATGGTGGATGGGGATTTCACTCCTTGTGCAACCAGAGCCTAAGGCGAGCGCCTCAGACCCAGGTGGTTGGAGGCAGTTCACTTGGGCACCAATGGAGTCAATGCAGGCCGAGGCCTTGTTCCAACCCTGCCTCTGATCTGCCCTCTGCTGCTCTGGCTTATTTCTGAACTCCTATCCCCGGTCCAGGAAGGCTGGTTCAAGTTCTGATCACCAGAGATTTACTATTGAATCTTACTCCTCTTTCTGCTGAGTAGTTAGACATAAGTCTTCAGGATTCAAGCAGTTCAGCCTTCCTGAAGAGGTTCTTAAGCTTTTAGTTAATTTCCCTTTGACAGAAATATTTCATTGACAAGTATGGGTGCTGCTGACTGCCGCTTTCTCTCAGGTCAGTGCTCGTGTCTTCCTGTGTGGAGATGGCCCATGGTTGGACAGTCATAGGGACAAATATACTTGGTCTGTCCACACACATTTGTTTTCATGTGCACATTGGAGGGAGATGGCTAGGTGGGATTAGGAAGATAGTCTGTGACCAGAAAGCAAGAGAGAAGGTGGCAACAGTGGTCCCCACAAACCACATCCCGAGTGGGAACCACATCTGTTGTTCTCAGGACCATCTTCTAGGAAGAAACACCACCGTGGTGGTCAGATAGCATTGTTTGAAGACAAGAGTAGGGCAAAGTTAAGATATTCTGCCAATCCCATTTGTATTATTGGTCCTTTGCTTGCACCTGGCCTAACTGTGGGAATTTTACTCACTTTTTGATAGCATTAATGGGGTGTGAGAAAAGAAGGGAAAAAAGGATCCCAGACTAGTTTTGGAAACTGGGGCCCGCCTTGTGCTTGGTGATGGGAATTGCTTGTGGACAGCTTCCCGCGAGGCCTCCCCCACCCCGTTCCAGTGCTAGTTTATCTGGCTGGCTGTGTCCTGTGGAGCTCCCTCGACTACTGCCAGGACTGGGGCTTTCCTGACTTCCTCAGTACTCCTTCTCAGCTTCTCTTTGTTTTTTTTCCAAGGCCCGGAAACAAAACTCATGCTGTGCCATCATGTGATGCAGCCTGCCAGAGGCCCAGCGCTGGAATGGCACCATCATTCACATCAGAACTGCAGCCCCTGGAAAAGAAGAGACAGCCATAGACAAGGAGCCAGAGTGGCGGCAGACTGGCCATTTTTATTTTGAAGTTCCTGGGAGAAAAGGATGGTGGAAGGGTGGCGAATGTTCAAATTCATATGTGTGGTAGTGATTCTTGGAAAGAATTTGAGGTCCCCAAAGGTGTATTTTTGGGCAAATGAAACCATAAACTCCAACTGGCTTCTGTAGATGCCAAAGGGCTCTTTTTCAGCTAACCCTGGGAAGGCTCTGTGGGAGGGAGGTCAGAGCCAGCTGTTTCTCGATCTTTGGTATATCTTTGGATTTTATTTGTACATTAATGATATTAACACTCCAGTGGGGGGGTAGGGAGTCCCTGATGCTAGGGCTGGGGTGGGTGGAGTTTGAAGACTCTTGGGAAAGCCTCTCCTGGGGCCACTGTTAGGGGTGGGAGTGAACCCACCACAGTGGCCACAGGCAGGCCCCCACTTCAGGCCCAAGGCCTGGGGCTGGGGGAACAGTCACTGGGTCTCAGATTCTGAGACGGTTGTTTAGCTTACCTTTCTGCTAGGACTGGCTTCCCACAGAGGGCAGGGCCCATCCTAAGCAGCTTCCAAGTCCCACAAAGGTGGCTTGTGGGAGGGTTTAGAAGGAGCTGCATTGTGAGCAGGGAGTGTGTGGGTTGAGGTCGTACCAGCAAGTAGACTAGGAACTGAGCCCAGGAAAGGGGGATGTTCTCCTGGTGTTTGGATGGTCAGCTGGGAGTGTCTGTCATCAGGGGAAGATCAAACACAGGTGCACTCAGCTGCCCAGGGCCTCTGGGACACTTGCCTTGACTTGCAACTTGCCTTGAACATCACGATCAAAGCAGCAGGTGCTGTGGTCTCTCAAAACTGGTTTTTATTTGCCTCTCTGGCTGCAAGACTGCCTTGAACCGCCTGAGGCCTATGCATCTGAACAAGTGGGTCTCTCCCATGGGCACCAGGAGTGGGTGCCAGCCAACCTGAGGACTCCCAGCACCCCACCTGTGGTCTGGCCAGCATAGACTTGCTAGTTCCTTCTTGGTCAGAGGCAGCTGCATGGGGGATGGAGGCCAAGGGGTTGGTCTAAGCTGTGCCCTGCCACCTGGCAGGAGGCCCACTCACAGCCCAAGTCATGGAAACAGACTGGAGCAGCCCAGGAGATGGGCCCAGGATGTTCCAAATCCCTTGGGTCCTAGTGTTATGTTCCAGGCTGCCAACCTGTGCTCAGGATGCATCCCTGGGATCCAGCCCCCAGGAAAGCTCCTGCTGGGATGGTGTCATCTACGTTTTGAACCAGTGTGGTATGGTCCTTGGGAGCCCTGCTCTGAGCTTGCCACACTGCTGAGAGCACCCACTGTCCTGACCAGAGTCTCAGTGGTCCTGACCCCCAGTGTGGGCAGGGGCTGGGCAGGAGGGTGGTGTCTGCCATGGGTTCAGAGGACCCCACCTCCTGGATGGTTTACCTGCTGCTGCCCATTTTCTCTGGGTACTGCTGGCCAGAGGACTTTGGCCTACTGCTGAAGAGCCTGTCCATGCCATTTTCCTACTGCCATAGACACCCTAAGCCGAGGGCCCCTTGAGGCCCAGACCCAGCCTGCCCACTGGTGCCAGAGACGGAGTGGAGTGGGCCTGGATCTGAGGGATGCTACCTCTCCCTCCCCACTTGAGGACCCTGGGGAGAGATGGGGGCGGGGAAAATGGAGGTGTGAATTTGGGGTAAGAGGAAGCGAGATCTCTCCGCTTGCAGGTCAGCCCCTGCCAAGCAGGGCGGGCTGGCTTGACTCAGGCCATGTGAGATAGAGGGCCCAGCCCGGCCCCGCCCACAGATCCCCTGCTCCTTTTGTGTTCTGTTGTAAATCACTTGGCAAGACTGTATTTTAGGAACTGCTGCCTAACTTCCCTGTGTTCTGTTTGAGAGGCGCCTGTCTGGATAAAGTTGTCCTGAAATTCCACAGTGGTCCTGTGCTTTCTTTGTGCTTCAGGGGAACCCTTCCCTCACCAAGCCCCGGGGAGAGAGCGGCCTTGTACGGTATGCCTGCATGCCTGCTGCACGCAAGGGTCCAAGTTATCCTGGCTGGCCCCTGTCCAGGAGTGATAGCTGCAGGCCTGACTCCTTCACCTCCTTTCTCTAGACGTTGCTAGCAGGAACTGTATTTTCTTTTTTGCTGTTAACCAGGTGAGGGAGCCCTGGAGTAGAAGCAGCCCTGTCATTGCTGAATCCTGTTGCCTGGTCTTAGCTGCAACCAGGAGACCCCCTCTGGGAAAGCTGCCTCATGGCTGCAGAGCCATGGGACAGGAGGCCCCATCCTGATCCTGCTGTAGGCTTCCTGTCCCTCGCCGCTGAGCTGACCCCAGGGTCAATCTGAGACCACCTGGCATCCCACCAAGCACAGGTGGCAACTTTTCAGGAGCAGAGGGGGCTCCACAGGGTGCCTGGAAGCTTCCTGCTTCCTAGAAGAGCCAAAGCTGACCCCTGCAGGTTGTTAGGTGAACCAGGGGTAAGTCAAATTCAAGTCTTGCATCAGGTTTTGAGTTCAGGGAGCCCTCTGAAGCCTCTGCAGCCTCCCAGGGAGATGGGCCCAAGGCTGCTTTCAGCCTGTACTTGTGAGCCTGGAAGGCAGAGACCTCTGTCTGGCCCAGCAAGCAGCCTTGAGCAGTGCTCAGCTTTTCCTGTTCTGAGGACCTGCCAGACCTGGGTGGGCAGGCGTAAACCTTGGGGTCAATGGCCCAGGGAGCTTTATTCAGAGGGTGCTATTTAAAAGTGATGAATGGGCCGAGCACAGTGGCTCACGCCTGTAATCCCAGCACTTTGGGAGGTCGAGGTGGGCGGATCATTTGAAGTCAGGAGTTTGAGAACAGCCTGACCAACATGGTGAAACCCCATGTCTACTAAAATACAAAAATTAGCCAGGCATGGTGGCAGGCACCTGTAATCTCAGCTACTCAGGAGGCTGAGGCAGGTGAATCACTTGAACCCAGGAGGGAGAGGTTGCAGTGAGCCAAGATCGTACCATTGCATTCCAGCCTAGGTGACAGAGTGAGGCTCCCTCTCAAAAAAATGTAAAAATAAAAATGATGAATGAAATGCTCATCAGTGGTGTCCCTTTTGCCTGTAGCGCTTGGCCCAGTACAGGATGGCTTAGTCCTGTGTGCTGTGCCCTAAAACATCATCAGAGTTGCTGCCCTGATGGCATCTGCAGAAGGGCCTCAGGAATAATGCATGTGAGGGTGCACGATCCGCAGTGCCTGCAGCCTTCCTGGGGGAGGCCTGGCCTGGAAATCCTCCTCCGATTACAGCTGATAGGTGAGTGGAGCCCTAGATACCATGTTGGGGACAGACACCGCAGCACTCATGGGCACTGGCCTAGATTCTTTGCAACTGGCTTTTGGGACCTGCCACCTGGCCACCCACACACCTGAGAGCACCTGTCCAGGTGCAGACCATGAGGAGCAAGAAGCTGACATCCAGGGCCGCTCTGCCACATGAAGGTGTTTAACCAGATGCTCAGGGTGGAGGAGGAGACTGAGGGCTTTAGCCAGTTCTGAGGGATCTTTCAGGCTCCCTGCCCATAGTGGACAGGACCGAGCGTGTGTAGGGGCACTCGTCAGAAGTTACTTGGACCCAAAATGCAGGCGTGTTTAGTGTCTGGGACTGTTTTGAAGCCCATCCTTCTGTTTCAGGAAAGTACCATGGCACTGCCTGGGACACAGGTGTGGAGGGGAGCCAAGGGCAAGGCCACACTCTCAGCAGGTTGCCATGGAGATATGAGGGTGCATCAGGGGGCCCAGCGGGGGCCACGAGGGTGCATCGGGGAGGGAGGAGGGCATTGAGGCTGAGAAGGGCCAGCATAGCACAGGCAGTTGCAGTTGCTTTCCCGGGCTGGGCCTGAGCGTGTGCCCTATGGGGCCAGGCAGCATGGGTGGTGGGTGGAGCCTGAGGACAGGAGAAACTTGGCAGGGGGTTACTCCTTACTCCAACCTAAGGGTTTGCTTTTAGCTTGGGCTGGAGATGCAGAGGGAAGGACTGAGGGGTGCCTATCTCCTTCACACCCAGGATGAAGTCCCCAAGCCTGGCCTGGCCCACAGGCCTATAGCACCTGGTCAATCTGGCCTGGCATCTGGCTTCCCTGTCTCCCTGTCTCCATTCCAGCTCTCTGTCCTGGATTCTGGGCTGATTGTATGGCCTCTGCTGGAGCCTCCTGGCCCCCATGATGGCTGTCTACTATATCACCTTGCGCCTTGCCTACGTCTGGTGTTGGAGGCTGATATCCACACAGGCCTGTGTGCCGTCTGTCTGCATAATCCACTGGGGTGGAGCCTGGCTCTGTGGTCACTGTGTGTCCTCAGCGTCCAGAACAGCCAATACATGTAGCAGGGGCAAAAGGAGACAGCAGCCAGCCAGAGGTCTTGGTCCTGGGGCTCCTTCCTGCCCAGAGGCTGCCCCTGGCCACATCTTTAGCAGCCACTGAGGGGGAATGGAGAGTTCAGGGGCGTTGGGGGCTGGGATCCAGTTTCAGTTCCAGCATCCAGGGTGGACAGCCCTGGGCCCAGAAGACTTCAGAGGACCAGAGGAAGAGGTGGGGACAGCTGGTGGAGCTATGATCTATGACTAGTGCCCTACCTGGGGTGAGCTGTTCACCCTAGAGAAGCTCAGGAATGTCAGGGCCAGCTCAGGGCTCCATAGCACTACCTTCTGTTGGAGGAGGGGCCCAAGTAGGGTCTTGGCCAGGGACCGGGCTTGAGTCTGTATTTTGGCACAGGAGGTTGGCAGGATTCCAGCTAAAGCACCCAGCTGCACTTGAAGCAGTTTGTCCTGTTTTTCTTTTATTTGCAGTTTCCCGAGACAGAACAAAATAAGAATAATTTTTGTACACTTACAAGGCTCAGAAAGAAAAGACAATGAAACTCAGCAAAAAGAGAGAGGAGGGGAGGCCAGCCAGCACCGTGGGCAGCCGACCCCTTGCAGCGCTGGCCAGCGGCCGCCGCCACCACACCGTAGACACCTAGCTAGCAGAGCGGTGTGGCTTGCTCTTTAGGGGTCATGCAAAAGAATTATCCCCCAGAAAAAAAATCCCCAAATTATCCCAGACAGGCAGCTCCGTGGAGGTGACAAGGTGAGAGGGAGAGGAGGGAAGGAGGCCCCAGGACGCCAGGGTGGCCGGCCGCTGGGCCACGCGCTGTCCGTGGTGAGCCCTGCCGCTGTCCCATGGCCCAGGGAGCCACTGGTGCGGAGCCCGGCAGATGTTTACCCTGTGTTCATGGATGGGGACAGCTGTCCTGGGCACAGCGTGGACGGAAGATGGTGTCCACTCTGAGTGTTCATCGGTGGACAGTCCCCTTGGAGTTTAGGATCCTGTGTCCTGTTCCCCATTCTGTGCCCCTCCCTTGGCTTGATTTGTAGGGGAAGATAAAGAAAATCTTTGTTGAAAACGATGTGAATTGAAGGTGGGCAGGCACTGGGGCAGGAGCCCCCGACCCTCTGCAGTCAGGGCTTCTGACCACTCCCACCCAACCTGGCTTCTGACCCACTCTGCAGCCCCACCGTGCTTGGGCTTGCCCTGTCCCCGAGCTCCCCCATGGTACACACCATCACAAGGGGCTGGGGACCCACCGCCTCAAACCCAGGCAGCCGACACTCAGGAGCACAGGGCTGGACCCCGCCCTCCATCCGCTGGTGTCTTGGGCCCTATGCCCACCTGTTTCTCTCCCCAGCCCGCCTTATCTCCATAGCTGCATCCCTGGCCCACCTAGAAGGTGCCCTCACACGCACTGCAGCCCACCAAGGTGCTCTCACACCTGACACTGCACGGGCAGCACTGCCCTCACGCCTCCCACGTGCCCCAGGCTGGCTCCCACTGTAGCTTTTGCTCCCTTCTGCTCCCAGCCCAGATTCCAAAGGCACTCCCACTTCAGCAAACCGCTGCACAGACCCTCATCTCAGCCCAGAAGCTGGGCAGCCACCACCTCTGACCCCGCTCTGCCACTTGCTGTACCACCCGACCAAACCCCAAGCCCCAGGCTTTCCCAAACTCCATCAGCAGACAAATATGCCCAGACACAAAGCCTGGCCTCCCCTCCTAGCTTCAGTTGGGGGCTCAGGGACTTGAGTAAGGCCCGCAGTCCTTTGTCAAAAGTCTGTTCCCCATTGCGGGGCGCGGAGAAGCCGAACAGGCTGGGGGAGGGCCAAGGGGCGGAAACAGGGTCGGGAGCTGCCAGTGCATCTGCTGCTGGCTGGCAGAGAAGAGACAGACACCTCACACAGGAGGGAGGCCAGCCCAGGCAGAGTCCTCTTGCCACAGCTGGCTGTGTTGGAGCTGTAGCCAGCAGTGCTATCTCTTGCTCGGTGAGAGGCCCGAAGCTAAGCTGTGCCCCTCTTTGCACTTTATTCCCCTAGAAGGACCAGAGCTGGAGTCCTGGGTGTGTGGGGGCATCTCTGATGGCCTTGGGGACGGGACTCCGGTCTCAATACTCCAGGGGGTGAGGGGCCAGCCTGGGCTCTGCCGAAGGGTTGTCCGTGCTGGGCGTGTGGGGATACCGGGCACGGAAAACCCACACCTAGCCCTTCAGGGGATGAAAGGAAGGGAAGGGAAAGCAGGAACAACAGCAACTCTCAGGCACAACTAGCGGGAAAGGAGGCAGCCCAGCGGGCCCCACAGCCCCTCCCAAGAGACAGCTGACAGTCACGACAGCCAGCGAGCACACCATGTGGAGCCCATGCGTTGGCGGGAGGATGCAGACACCTTAGGTGTGGGGTGTGTGCGTTACCTACAAACTAACACCGTTCAGCACGCGACAGGGGCCTGGCAGACAAGTTCATGTCCCAGCTGGTCCCCCAGAGGCCAGGAGCACAGACGGACACACGTGGAGCTTGGGTGGGGAGCGGCCCCACGAATGCCAGTGATTTTTACAGCTTTTTCCTTCCTTTAGTTTTTTTTTTTTTTTTTTTTTCATTTCATCTGATGTCAATTTTTTGTGGTTGTCGTCGTCATCTTGTTTTTTTGTTTTGTTTTGTTTTTAAACAAATCACATCTGGTCTTGTTTTTCTGCAGACACAGGCACCAGGGGAGGGAACGAGGCAGACACAAACATGCGACAGGCAGGCCGTGTGCCCGAGGGCAGTCGGGCTCCAAACACCAACTCTGTCCGGCGAAACCAGGGCGCAGCTCTGAAATGGGGCGGGTGGGTCAGCTCCTCAGCAGCCCCCTCTCCCGTCCACCCCCAGGCTCTGCTGTCTGCCACACGGCACTGCAGAGAGGGTTAAAGTCCGGAAAAGGGCCCACTCGGGAAAGGGGGTCAAGGTGCCCAACCCAATTGCTAGTATCCCTGTAAAACTGGGCTCTGGGCTCTGGGCCCGCTGCACCCGCCACCTGGAGACCCCCCATCTGGGGTTCTAACAGTCCTCACAAACAGGGCAGGGTGCCCAGGATTGTGCTGCCTGGGGCCCATCCACCTGCAACCCACCCAGCTCTGGCCAGTGTGGACTGCTCAGGCCCTCATCAGCTCCCCAGTCGTCTGAGGAGACCCGCCACACCCAGCCTGCTGTGATCCCCTAATTCAACACCATTCCTGTGGCCTCACCAGGAAAGCTGATGGACTTCCCAGGCATGGGCTCTGCCACAGGCCCCACTGCTCCCCATTGCCTCCCTGGGCTGCAGCCACTCACACCACCGCCACCCCTCTGCCCCAGCTGTCACTTAGCACAGAGCACTCACCTTCACTGCAGCGGGGCCACAGGCGCGCCCGAGCAGTGGAAGTGCACGTTCTGCCACTTGCCGTCGCGGCGGTGCCACACACGGGTCTCCTCAGACTGGCTGGTGCGGGGCCGGCCCTGCCCGTCAATGTACTGCGTGAGCCGGATGTAAGCAATGCAGGCGGCGTCCTCTCCGATGACGTGCACGTGCGGGTTCAGGATGGTCGTGTGGATCGGCTTGCTGTTCTTGGCCAGCACTGTGGACAGCAGGTGGAGGGAGGTCTCGGGTTACTGTGGCTGCCCTGGTGCCCGCCTTCCACCCCACCACCCTAACCCTTTCCCTCTCTCAGCTCCCCTTATTGGGGAGGTTCGGCTCTCCTGGGAGCAGCATGGGCCCCTCCAAGAGTGGGATTCTGGGGGCTGGGTATCTGGTGGGGGAGGGGTGGCTGGCCAACCCTGGGCAGAGAGGGGACAGGGCTTCCATAGGCAGCCACCATGCTGTCCCTGGGAGGAGCCGAGAGGCTCTCCTGGGGGCACTGCACCCTCATGCCCACCCGGGCTCCCTCACTCACGGTTCTCGAAGTAGAATCTGTGGAAGTCCATCCCTTCAACCAGGTTGCCCAGTGCTTCAGGCTCAAATGAGGTCAGCCCTGGGTCACAGATTTTCCTGGGGGCCAAATCCAAGTGAGGAGGGGCCCCATGGACCCCTGACTCTGAGCAGGGCCCCCCCAAGGGTCCCACATCCTTGTCCTGCACAGCCCCCCCCCAGCCCCGGGGACTCACGCGTAGGCCTCAAAGTCACCGTTGTTGACAGCCTCGATGAGCTGCTCCGTGGTCTTAATGATCTCCTGCTTCCGGGCTGTGGGAAGACACGGCCAGGTGACCACTGGGCGCTGGCCCATTCCCCCCAGACCCCTCCACTCAGCCCAGGGGAGGGCCTGGGGGAGCACGAGCTGCATCCACACCGTGTTTCTGCCGCTATTCGCAGAAGCGATCCTCTCGCCCGCCCCGCTCTATCACCAGTGGCTTCCTCATTTCCAAGTGCAACAGCTTCCATCTTATTTTTCTTAACTAAAATATTTTTGAAGGACAGAAATATTCTATCCACATTACAAAATGTCTGGAAAATGCAGAAAGAGGAAAAAAAACCCTCCTACAATCCACTTGGAGGTCACCTCCTGGCCCCACGAGCTGTCCGCCACAGTCTCCCTCCTGCCCTCCAGTGAGCCAGGCCTGGGGCCCACCAGGCCTGACCCTGCGCTTCCCTGCAGCTTCCCAGCCCCACCCTCCTCCCGAGCCTTGGGTTCTTAGTGCCTCCTTCACCCAGCAGCTCTGGTGAGGGGGCTACCGAGTGCAGGCACCAGGCGAGAAGGCAGAGACCTGCCTGGAAGAAGGAGCCGTCAGCAAGGCCACGTGGAGGCCGGGTAGGAGGAAGCAGCAGGGGGCGGCCAGGCGTGGCTACAGGGTTCCCCAGGGCGATGACCCGGGTTGTCCCAGCAGCAGGAAGAGCAGGCATGGTCTCTTGTTCCCCGCTTTTCTCATAGGAGCCGCATCCTGCTGGCTTCACCTGCTTGCAGTCCGAGGCCCGCATGCTACCCCTGCAGACACCCCCGTTGCCCCACACCCCCATGCCCAGGCTTCTCTCTGGCGCCTGCCTGTGGTTCCTGCCCACTCCCCTTGGATTCCAACAGGCCCTCCAGCCATGCTGGTCCTCACTGGCCTCTGGGGCGCTCACTGGCAGCCCGCGTTGCTGCTTTAACTACAGCTTATTTTCACTGTAAAAGATTTTAAACGTATGGAAGACGTGGAGAGAATAATAGAACCCACACTCCATGGATTCACATCTTAACATTTTCCTATTCGCTTTAGACACATTTTAAAGAAATAAAGCACCGCGCATGTAGTTTGAAGATGCCTGTGTTCTCCTCAATCTTGTCTCACTCACTCTCCTCAGACAGAACTACTGTCCTCAGTGAGGTCCCTAGCCATGTCTGCGAGGATATATACACAGGCACGCACATACATGCACACTCACACACAGAACACACATGCACACACACGCTCACCTATACACACAAGTAACACTGGTTTCTCAGAGTAATTTGTCCATGGAAAACCTCAAACCCCCAGAAGTGCACTGGAAGCAGGTTCCTGGGAACTCTCCCTGTGGGGGAAGTCTCTGCACTCCCAGCACTGCGCTCTGTGACCCTCAGGCTGCTGCAAGCCATACCTGGGACACCTGCCCTCAAACTGCTGCCCGCCCTGCAGGACACCATTTTCACCAAGAAGGCAGGCCCTGTGGTGACGTTTCCACCCTTCAGCTGTGAGTGCTGCCTCCAACGGCCACATACATGCCACCTGTCTGTGGTCTAAACTCCCAGAGGAGGGAATTCCTTTTTTTTTTTTTTTTTTTGAGATGGAGTTTCACTCTGTCACCCAGGCTGGAGTGCAGTGGTGTGATCTTGGCTCACTGCAGTCTCTGCCTCCCAGGTTCAAGCAATTCTCCTGCCTCAGCCTCCCGAGTAGCTGGGACTACAGGTGTACACCACCACGCCCAGCTAATTTTGTGTGTGTGTGTGTTTTTAGTAGAGATGAGGTTTCCCCATGTTGGCCAGGCTGGTCTCAAACTCCTAACCTTAAGTGATCCACCCATCTCGGCCTCCCAAAGTGCTGGGATTGCAGGTATGAGCCACCGTGCCCAGCCAGAAGAGGCAATTCTAGGCATGCCCTGTGATGGGGTTGCCTTTACCTCTCCCGCCAGGCCTCTGGGAGCTCGCCCCACCAGGGAGCCCACCTGGCAGGTGGACTGAGTCCACGAAGAAGGCGCGGCATGCCCAGGTGTGCTCACGCATGTGTGTGTGGCGCTGCCTGGGAACGCCTGTGCTGCACCTGTCTACTCTGGGGCCTCATGTCCCCTGCTCATGTCCCCTGCTGTATGGAAACATGCACACGAGCAGGACGGTGTGTGTGTGAATGTGTGTAGATGAAGCTCATACATATGCACGAGCACCTGTGTGTGCATGTGTGTACAGTGCCTGTGAGTGTGCACTTGTCATATGTGCCTGTGTTGTGTGGCATGGGCACATGTGCACTCGTGGGTTGCCCCTATCTGGAAAGTCCCTTGCTCCTGACCCAACTGCACTTCTGCTGCCAGCCTGTCTCTCTTTCTTGCCTAACTTACATCTACACCATGTCATGGATGGTCCTCAGGGCAGTCTTGCTATAGAAGCCTAGTTCCCACCCACCTGGCGGACCCTTGAAAGCTGGCCTCTAGGAAGGTGGGCTGCAGGATCCAGAAGTCCCTTCCCCTCCAGTTCCTGCTGCAGCCACCACGAGTCCCATTCCTGGCCCCATTCCACCTGCCCAACTCTAGGAGGGCACAGGGCTCTGTCCTAACACATGCTGTGGCTGTTCCTGTCCTTGCCCCTGGGCCCCAGGACAGTAGCATATGACACTTGAGGGCCCGTCCCCACCCCAGCTGCTATGTTCCTGCCTCCTCTCCACCCTCTACCTCACACCTGCCTCTCCCCTGCCTCATGCCCCCACTTTCACCTGTCCTTTCCTGGAGGTGGCCCCAAGCTTCAGGTCTGACCTCTCTTCCACCTGTAGCCAGTCCTTCCAGCAGCCCCCAAGTCAGACCCCACTAGGGTGCCTGGCTCTGCCCTCCTTGCATCTAGAGAGAAATCTGGTGTCCACATGTCCCAAACACCTCCTGTCACTTAGTTAACCCCCCTTTCTGATGGACAGAGAGAGCTGCCCCTCCCACTCCACAGGGGTTCTCAGGGACAGCAGCACGCAGCTGGAATGAAGAAGAGAGTGACATTATTTCATTTGGTTTCCAGTCTGCTTTGGTTCTATAGTCACCTTACACTAGTGGTAAGTGAAACTAATCTTCCATTTAATGAAGTAATACGTAGTGCTTTTAAACAAACTGTAATTAAAGAGGGAGCTGGTGGGAAGAGAAAGCATAAACAGAAGAGGACATGCATGGTCAGAGTTCCATTCAAGAGGGGTAACCATGCTGAAGTATGGGAAGCAGGTCTGTTGTGAGACCCACCCATCCATTCCACAGACGGGAAGAATAAGTTGACCCTGCCCTGCGGAACGGTGCTGCCCAGACCCCAGCTTGACCCAGCTCCCACTCCGCCTCCCCACAGAGAACATAGGTGCTTTTGTGTCCTTGATACCCGGGCCCCTGAAAAAGGGCATGATCCCTGATGGAGGGGAGGGAGGGGTGCCCAACATAAAGGGGTGCCTGGGTGGGGAAGCCTGCTGGCTGAGGACAATCTGCCCTGGCAGTTCCAGGGACAAAGGGGAGGCAGTGGGCAGGGTCTGGGCTCGGAGGGGTCTGCCTGAGCCAAGAGCCTCTGCAAGTCAGGCCTTCCAGGTGCCCTGACGCAAACACGAGCCTTGCATTGCCTGTGGCTCTCTTGGGGTGATGCGACAGGTCCAGGCAGGCCCAATGCATCCAGGTGGGGTCAGAGCAGGTTCTCATCCTGGCCTGGACTCCTGGGACCCCAGGCTGGCCCCAAGTCCCATCTCTCAGAGCCAGAGGTGGCTGCGGGAGGGAGGGCAGCTGCCCAGGGATCAGGCTGGATTGTGTATAATCCGCGATTAGAGAGCGTGGGTCGGGAGAAGACAGGGTCTGAGGCGGGCCGTGGGCAGCTGCCCTATTTACACAGCTGGTGGGTGCCTTCCAGAGAAGGGAGGGGGCTCACGATTGGCCTGTAGGATGGCCCAAAGCTGGCCACCTGCTGCCTGGGCCCAGGTGCCCTCAGGGTGGTACCCAGGCTCTTCCTCTCCCCGAGTTCCCGGAACGTCTCACCCACCCCTCTCCCAGCCCTGCCCAGCCCCTCCCAGGAGGGCCACACGAATCTCCATCCTACCCTGCTCACAACTCCTTCCTGCAGCCCCCACCTCCTCAGCCAAGCTCAGGGCAGACTCTGGACGGGCAGGTCTGTGCTATGGCCTCTGAAGGTGAGCCTGGGCACCGAGCCCCGAGTTGGCCACTTCATACCCACCCTGGGCCCTGTCCTCACAGGACTCACTCCGGCTACTGCCCAGACCTTGAGGGCAGGCTGCAGCCCTGGGCTGGGGTCATGCTAACCTGATGGGGTGACCTTCCAGGCAGGCTCCTTTGGGCACACCCCTCCACTTCTGCAAGGGCAGCAAGCCCCTTAAATCAGATGAGCTGCTGTAGAAGTGGCAGGTGTGGGGGGTTCTGACCACCCCCAGAGGCTCTGCTGTGCACCCGCTCCAGCTGCATGGCGGCCCCTCCCCATGCCTCCCTCCTTGAGTTCGGTCGCCCAGGCATCCCGACCCTATCACCATCAAGAACCTGGTCTTTCCCCTCAGCTGCTCGCCTCTGATCCCCTCAGTCAACCCCCACTGGGAGTCCTCAGCTGACCACAGAACACTCAGGGGGTGAGTGCCCCTCCAGGGGCTGCCCCCTGCCCTCTCGGGCACCCAGGGTGGATCCAGTGTCCCTTTGAATCTGCAGGCTGCATCCCCCTCCTCGGCCCGCTGCTCTTGTGGGTTCACTCTCCCCACACCCCTCTCCTCTGGCCACCTGCAGCAGCCCCCACGCCCGGCCTGCAGAGGGGATGGGGGCACTCAGACCCCACCTGTCCCTCAAGTACTTACCTAGCCACTGCCCTGCCATGCCGAGCCCTTGGCCCAGCAGCCTCTTCTCTAAGAGCATCTCCACACCACCCCCAGCCTGGTGTCTCCCCACAGGTGGGGGTGGCGGCAGCCCTGGGATGTCATCCATCCCTGTAAGCGATACTGTGGGCAGTCGGCAGACAGACCGGGAGGTGGCCCAGCCTGGCTCCTCCCTGGCCGGAGAGGCTGCCCAGCCTGGGCTTCCCCTCCCGCCCGCTCTGTTTCAGCCTGGCCCCAGCTGCCCCCCAGATCCGTGCCTCCCAATCCCCACCTGCTCCCTGCTGTCTGGACTTGGACAGCTCTAATGCTAGAGCATCTCAGTGACACTTTTCTGTCCCTGCCCAGCAGGTCCACCTCGACCCAAGCCAGCAGCTCCTGGCGTGCCAGCCCTTGCCACACGCGCAGACCCTCTGCTGCCCATTCCCCTCCCATCAGGAGAAGGCTGTGGACCTCAGGGTCACAAGTTTTGGGGTCGGCGACAAACCTGCTCTTTCAGACGCTCTTCCTACACACTTGTGTCATACACACTTCATAACCATAACCTCCATTTTGTGAGACCCAACGGCACCTGCATGTGCTTCAAAGCAATTCCCTGGGGCCCAGCAGAGGGATCCTGTGCCCCCGCCCTCCCCGCAAGCTGGCCCTTCCCAGAGCACCACCGCCAGGCTCGCACTCCCCGAGCCCCTCCGGGCAGCTGCTGCCAGGGCCACTCAAGGTGCTACTTACACGGGGTGGGCAGGGGGCCAGGGATAGTCGGAGATGGGCAGGGCAGGGGCCCCACTGGTGAGGGGCCCTCGGCTTCTGGGGTCCCTGAGCCCCTCCTCACAGAGTTCAGGATGTCAGAGATCCTCGGGGCTGGGGCGGAACAGACAAGACGTGAACACAAGGCAGGCACGGGGGGCACGCAGGAGAGAAACCACGGGCAATCAGCCAAGCCAGAGATTGAGGGGCACAGAGGGAGATGTGGGGGTGGGGCACGAGGGGAGAGAGGGGAGGGAGGGAGGATGGGGGGGTGTGGGGGGAAGAGGGTGGACCTGGGCCAACAGAGAGGATACAGGGGACAGAAGGGGATGTGGGGGACAGAGGGGAGCTTGGGGGACAGAGAGGGAAATGGAGGAGACTTGGGGGACAGAGGGGGGTGCTGGGGACAGGGGGGCATGAAGGGACCAAGGTGGGTGTGGGGGACAGAGGAAGGTGTGGGGGACAGAGGAAGGTGTGGGGGA